TGCAGAAAAGAGAGATAAACGAACGAAAGAACACACCTGCCGTTACTTTCAGTTTAGCAAGCGACACATTTACGCACCACATGCTGTTTGATGGCAGAGACCCTGCTAGGAGATGACTATTTTGTTTTTAATTTATTACGACTGTCGCAGCTTCATTTGTTAGCCATTTTATGTTAATAAAAACAGTTTATACCGCTATAATATAAAAAAGAAATCCCATAAAAATAATAGGACTATTTTGTTGTATGCCATTAAAAAAAAAAAAAAAAAAAAAAAAAAAAAAAACCGAAGCATGAAACACATGTGGAGAAAAATACACGCGTAAAAGGTTATGGAGGCCTGTCTCGATCCTTATCAGCCGTATTCACCAGTCGTGACTAACTAGCGCTGTTTTAAAGCTAGTATCGCGTCTAAGTAGTCGCGAACTAAGAGAAAAAAAATCAGCGACTAAGGATCGACTAGTTCTGCGGTATTCACGAGCGCGAAGCGAGCGCGTGACTATATAGTCAGAACTAACAAGCGGAAGTGACATAAAAAGATAGGTCACGCATGCTCGTACTTAAACGCCGCTGCGTATTTGGTACTTTATCGTATAAAACCTAATATTTCAATGTTTATCAGGACAAAAAGAATTACGCTGAAAGGCTAATTGTTTGAGACGAAGTTTTAGAAAGAAAAAAAAAAACGCAAGGGAGAAATACGGAAGCCGCATTGCCAGAGACATGAACAAATATGGAAGCGTCCATAAAAGCGTTCTTTCTCGTCGTCCCGCGCCCTGCTGAGATCTCTTTAGCAGTATCTCCGACCGTTGACCATGGCTATTTACGCAATATTTACTCCTTCAATACTTTCTAGATGTGTTCCCCAGCGTTCCAAGACAGTAAGTGCTTCGTTAGCACTGGCGGTAAGCGGTGATACGAGTCGGGCCATGGCGGTGAGTCATTAGTCGCCCGCTAAACACTGGCTAAACTAGTCCTACCCCATGACTAAGATTTGTTAGTCAGGCAGACTAGGCCCTACACACGACCGGTGAATACCAAGCGTCAACTAGCGGTGACCGTCGCCCACCACGTGATCATTTTAGTCGATGACGTCGCTAGTCAGTGGTCAAACGCACCTTATGATATACCGCAGGAAAGGCTACAAGCGCGAGCTCCTTGCTCTAGGGCCCATCTCGGCGGCACAAGCTCTCGTGCGTTAAGAGTAGCTCCCAACGCTATGAGCTCGCGCTTCTAGCCTTGTCGACGGTACAACATAAGGTGAAACGGAGTATACACCTTTGCAAGTGGGATCCCGGCTTAACCTAGAACCGCGCGCCAAGGTGAGGCGCACCTACTCTCCAGCCAGGACGTTCGCTGGTTGTCGTACAATGTTGCCAAGCGTCTCTCGCCGAAGCGTACACCACTGAGCGCAGAAAGAAATTAAAAAAAAAAATAATTATAAAACGTACACGTGTCGTCTTCGACAGCCAAATAGCAAAGACAATTAAATAAAATGCCTAAAGCGGTAACAAATCGAAAATTTTCAAAAAGATCGAAAGTCTCAAGGCGCTCTCTTCAGAATGCGCCAAAAGTCGCGTGGCCTTTGCATCAACGATGGCTGCGCTCGCGGCAGCTCTGGCTTCCACAACACGCAGGAACAGAGGCTGCGATCGTTATAAAGTCAGCTCCAACCCTGAAAGATGCCCCGTCTTACAATATGTGACGCTACGATTCTGTGTGGATACCTCCTCCTGCGTTCCGAGACAGTAAGTGTGCCGCTAACGTAAGCCATCGGCGATGCAGCAAACGGCACCATCTTGTCATCGCGCACCCCAATGACGTGCCCCTGGCGCACCCCAGCATGGCGGAAACGGTACGGGGCGCCAGCATCGCTCAAAATGGCAGCGCACAGGAGCCTTTCTTGCAAACGTGTATATTAGCGGCGAGATGTTTCGGTGGCGCCCTCGTTTGGTTACCTTTCGTGACGTCATTACCTAGTAAACAACAAGTTCGATGGTGTTTGTAATGGGCATGGTGGAAGCCTGAAATCATAGCGCTCTCAAATGAACACTGCCAACACCGTCAAAATTGAAGTTCTTATATTCCTCTTATTTCCGTCGATGAGAAATCCTTTGCTGACGTCATAGTCAGCATTCAGCCAATTGTGGTGGGTCGACCACAGCGACGCATTCGATCGCTCACATCGCCAATTAGCCCCGTGCGCGACCGAAAGCGTCGCTGTGGTCGGCCTTCCACGATTGGCCCAAAAGCTGACTATGACGTCGGAAAGGGTATACCATCGACGGAAATAAGAGGAATGAAAGAACTTTAATTTCGACGGTGTTGGCAGTGTTGCTTTGAGAGCGCAATGATTTCAGGCTTCCACCATGCTATTTACAAACACCATCGAACTTGTTGTTCGCAAGGTAATGACGTCACAAGGGGGAACCATAGGAGGGCGCCATCAAAACATCTCGCCGCTAATACTAGTGCCTGGTGAATACGGGTGTATATGTTTCTTCCGTTAAGGTGTATCCACACGACGGACCAAATCGCTGGTTTGGTCCGCGGGCTGCGCATCACGTGATCTTACGCCACCGGTTTTCGAGGTCCGCCGGTGGTCCGCGGCCCGCGCTTCTGAGAAATGCCAAGCGACTTTTCTCGCCCGGACCTTGGCAAAGCGCTAAGTCTGGCAAAAAGCTGACTTTTGTTGTTTGGATTGGAATCCAAATTCAAAGTCGTTTCCTTTTGGCGCCAACTGTTGGAGACGAAGAAGACGAACCTTTTGTTGTGCGACGATGCAACTTTTTACCTCATCGCGCTCGTGGAGCAATTCCCCGCTCTGTGGGACAATAGTCGCGACGACTACTCAAATAATCATCTAAAGATGTCCCCATGACCTTTTCGGTTCACTTAAGTCCTCCTCGTTCTCAAGAGTCAACGCCAGGACCACCGCGGCCAAACGTCACTTTCGTTCAACCTCCATCTTGGCTCCTTACAAATAGCCTCAAAGCAGCTCGCTGCATGGGTTTGGCCGAGCTGTGAGATCGAGGGTTAGACCGGCCCGTTCGCTCTGTCGTCTGCTCTTTTGGTCCGTCGTGTGGATGCTCATTGCAGCCGGGCGGCCCGCGGGCCGCGCATCACGTGATCATTCGGTCCGCGGCCCGGTCCGTCGTGTGGATACACCTTTACAGTAGGTATAGACTTCCGCCCTCGCTATGCACACAGAACGAAAAATTCATTATTGTTAAATGAAAAAATCAAGAAGAACTATAAAGAGAGATTGGTTAGATGATGTTAATAATAATAAATAACTGAAATTGAGAAAAACAAAACCGGAGATGAATTTGCAGCGTTGGGTTTTTGTTTGAACCGTTCTGTCTTCATAAATCCAGCTTGCTTTTTAAGATAATCGTTAATAGTTTGCTGGACAAATTAAAAAAAAGGATTGGTAAAATGCAATAATTGTATTTTAATTATGCCTTCATTATAGTCCTTTCCCCCAGATACTCAGAAATATTTTATAATCAATAATCGTATATCACCAACCAAAAAAAGAAAAAAAAAAAGAAAAGGAAAGCTGACGTTTATTGCTTTCATTTTTGCAACATTAATAGTGCCGCGCTTTCGTATACCGTTTTCACCGCGTGCCTCCACCTCGTCAAGGTTCCAGTGACCCATGTGTTGATATGAAGATCCAGGAACAGCGGCAGCTTCACAAAACTGAAGAGCTTTAATTCCGACGTGCGTTCGATGCGAAAAAAGAAATGGTAATAAAAAAAAAGTGAACGAGCTCCGCGCTCGCCGTCCACGAGCGCAGGCCCCGATCTCGTGTGTAGGCTTGCCATTGTGCTGCTCAACATTGCTTCGCTGGTACTCGACCAGTTTGATCTATTTTCAACACAATCCCGACCGCGAAATGAGTCACGCGCTGACCTCCAGGGGATAAAGGCGTTGAACTGGTCGGTCGGTAATCGATCCATTTTGCAGTTTTACCTGACAGGACCGTATGTTACCGTCTCTTCCTCTGTGGGTCTTCAGCACTCTTCCCATTTGCCACAATTGTCTCGGTGCATTACTATCGTGCACGAGAACAACGTCGTCTACACTTAGGGTTGACGCAGAAGCTGGTTGCATATGGTGCGCTGATCGAAGCTGCAACAAGTATTCGTGCTGCCAGCGTTTCCAAAAGTTGTCCGTTAGGCACCGTCGGTACTTGATCCTCTTGAGTAGGTCTGTTCTTTTGGATTGGTGCTCCGTCTCCGTTGTTGGGTCGGGCAAGCACGCCAATCTTTTCCCAAGCAATATATCTCCTGGGGTTATCGGCCTGGGCTCCGTGGCGTCTGTGCTGTCCATTGTTAGAGGTCGGGAGTTGACTATTCCTTCGACCTCGGTCAAAACAGTGGATAATTCTTCAGAGGTTAGGCATGCCCTCCCTAGCACTTTCCGTAGGGTGGCCTTTACCGTTCGCACGAGCCTCTCCCACCAGCCTCCCCACCATGGGGCACTGGGAACAATGAACTTCCATGTTACTCGGTTCTTGGCAAGATGAAACGTAAAATCTTCTTCTTGCATCGCTCTAAACAACGCATATAGGTCCTTTGATGCCTTCTTGAATGTTGGTGCGTTGTCAGAATAGATCGTTGTTGGTAACCCTCTCCGTGCCGTGAAACGTCGAAAGGCCATTAGAAAAGCTTCTGTAGACATTGCAGAAACAAGTTCGAGATGAACGGCGCGAGACACTGCACAAGTGAAAAGTGCAACGTAGGACTTCACACTGCCGCTTGCTGTCTTGACATACAAAGGACCTGCAAAATCTACGCCTACAACATCAAAGGGCGCGCCTTGCTTCAGTCGGTCAAGGGGAAGTGGAGCCGTTGGGGCAGTGTCAGCCGTGAGGCGGAACCTCTTGCATAAACAGCAGCTGAAGATCACTTTCTTCACCAATCTTCTCCCTCCTATAATCCAAAATCGTTCTCGGAGTTGCGCCAACGTGTCTCGTGCTCCTCCGTGAAGTACCTTGCAGTGGGCGTTCTGTACGACCAGGGTGGTGAAGTAGTGCTCACTCGGCAATATGATTGGGTGTTTCACATTGTCCGATGCTGGCAGCATCTGAAGCCGGCCTCCAACCCGGATGATATTGTCTTCATCCAAAAATGGACTCATCTCTGCTAGAGACGATTGTTTGTGAACATTTTCTTTCTTCGAGAGACATTTTATCTCGTCTGAGTAAGTACTGTTCTGAACGTTGTTGATCCAGTATAGTTCGGCCGCAGTGGTTTCCTCGGCACTCAGTGGTCCATGTGACGGTTTGCCATTTCGGCAGTTCCTCAGAAATCGAAGGCACCACGCCGTCACTCTTAAAGCCCGATGGAGTTCGCTGTACTTTGTCAAATCCAACAGCGGTTCAGGTGGTGTTGTTTGCAATATCACATGAACTGCTTTTCTCTCTTCTTTCAACAAGTCAGTCTCTGCTTCGTTACTCGACCTCAAATCAGGCCATTCATTTTCGTTTTCAGTCAACCATTTTGGTCCTGACCACCATAAATCACTCGACACCAGTCGAGAACCTGTGATGCCACGGGTAAGCAAATCCGCTGGATTGTCATTTCCCGGACAGTACCTCCAATGAGAAGGATCGGTGTCCCTTTGTATTTCTGCAACTCGGTTGGACACGAAAGTCTTCCACTTGCTGGGGTCGCTCTTGATCCATGCAAGTGTGATGAGAGAATCCGTCCACAACGTATAGTCATACGGAATGCATGGGATGGTCTTCTCAAGATATTTGTGGAGTCTCGATGCGATGACGGCTCCCATAAGTTCCAGGCGAGGAAGAGTTTGTTTCTTGATTGGAGCAACCCGTGCTTTTGCCAATAAAAGTGTAGGTTGTTCAGGTGGCGAGGACTTCGTTGTTACGTACACTGTAGCTCCATAGGCAGTCGGGCTTGCGTCGCAGAAAATATGAATCTGGGTGTCCTTGCCTTGTCCTGCTTGGAATACGAATCTGGGGATGACGAGTGCATCCATCTTTGGCAGGTCACCACACCATTCGTGCCATTCGTTGTTCAGATCCTCGGGTAGAGCACTGTCCCAAGTGATTCCTCTCGCCCATAGTTTCTGAAACAGTGTCTTCACACGGATTGTGAAGGGCGACAAGACTCCCAGGGGATCGAAAATCCTAGACGCTGCTTGTAGAACAAATCGCTTAGTGCCATCATGCAGCTCTAGGAAGTTTTGTAAAATTGGCAACGCAAACTTCAAAACATCCTTCTCTGGATCCCAGACAATTCCCAGAACCTTCATTGTTCTTTGTTCAAGGATAGGCGTAGTGTTTTCTGGATTTGCCTCTTCTTGAAGTAGCACATCTCTCAGCGCTTGTGAATTCGTCGTCCACTTTCGGAGAGTCATTCCTGCGTTCTGCATAATAGATTTGGCGTCATGGTACAACTTGATGGCTTCCTCCTCGGTAGCTGTGCCAGTAACCAAGTCGTCCACGTAGAAGGAGTTACGAAGTACGTCAGCCACTTCCTCCTTTTCAGTCGGCAGATTTTTCAGGTGTTGGAGGATCGTAGCCGTCAGAAGAAATGGACTACAGGTTGCACCAAAAGGAACCCTCTTCATCCTCCATGTCTGTACCTCTTCATCTTTAAAGGTCGAAGATGGTAGATCTTGAAACCAGAGAAAACGGAATGCATCTCTGTCCTTTTCTGCTACAGATATTTGCAGAAATGCCTTCTGGATGTCGGAGGTTATGGCGAAGCGGCTCACCCGAAATCGCAGCAATATTCCAAGAAGGTCTTGATACAGGTTGTCTCCTTTCTCTAAACATTCGTTTAGAGACTTGCACCCAGCTGCGTGCGAGGATGCATCGAAAACAACTCGAAGTCGTGTCGTCAGCGCATTTTCTCGGATGACTTCGCGATGTGGCATGTAAAATAGTCTGCCTTCTTCACCAGTTGTCTCGTTCAGTACCACTTCAGCGTGACCCGCTATCAGATACTCTCTGATTGCTTCGTCGTAATGAAGTACTAGAGAGTCAGTTCTGTAGAGTCGACCTACTAGTTTCCTCAGTCTCGTCATCGCTACTTGCTTGTTGTCCTTAAGGACACCTATATTGTCCTTCCACGGTAGTGCCACTTCGTACTGTGTGCCAGACCGGCGAATGTTCTGCTCGAAATGGCGCATCACTTGGCTTGTTTCGGACATCTGGTCTTCTGAATCTGTGATTCCCAGGCTTTCTAACTCCCAGAATGATCGGAGAGCGCCTTCAACCTGTTCTGTACCGGTGATCTGCAGGACACAGACGACCAAGTTCGAGTGTTTTTTTTGTGACTTCAGGATGGATGTCCGTCCTTGGAAGGTCCAACCAAGCTTGGTGTTTAATGCAACAAGGGTGCTGCAGGTCTTACTCCGAGTGACTTCACCAGTCATAAAGCCCCACATTTGGTCAGAGCCAATCAAAATACTGATGCCTGGTTGTGCGGCAACCGCTGGAAACATGAGGCGATCGGCAATAAACTTTCCATTTTTCTCCATGTCAGCTACGAAGACTGAATCTGTCGTTAAGGTAGCTATGTCTTGACATATCACTGGGATTTCGATCGCTTCGATCTTGCATCCGTCCATGTTGAATTGACTTCTAAGTTCAAGCTCCACTACACGACGCTTCTTGCACTGTTGAGTTGAAGCACAAGCAAATGTGTTGAGCGCCATCTTGGTGTAGCCAACGCACTTAAGCTGAAGGTGTCTTGACAGATCCTCGGTGACGAACGTCTGTTGGCTGCCTCCGTCGATAACACCTCTAACATACCTACATGAGGTACCGCTGACAGCCCATGCCCGGAAGGTTTGCAGAAGCACCGCTCCGGACTCTCTGAATTCTCGGTGAATTGATGTAGTACAAACCGTCATGCTGTTTTGTGTGTCCGATTTACCTTCTTTAGCTTTGATCCGCGTCGGGTCACACATGGACTTAGCGTGTCTTCCACCGCATGTGGCACAGCTGATCTTTCGTCTGCAGTCTCTTGCTCGATGGCCACTGAGAGTGCATCTGAAGCATCTCATCTCTTTTGTCAAACGCTGTTTCTTCTGGTCCAGGGGAAGAGAGGAAGAACAGCCTGCAGAACTATGGCTTGTTCCGTTGCAGAAACAGCATCTCGTTTTATGTGGTGAGGGTCTGTTGTAGAGCACCGATGAGGTCGGTCTAGACGATTCACGTCGAGCTATGTTGTCCTCATATCTTGTGGTCTTTGTGTTCTTCGTTTCTGTGATCTTAAACTCGCTTTTCTCCCGACTTTCGACTTCGATAGCTAGAAAATCAAGTAGTCGATCCAGTTCTGAGCGGTCAGGCTGGCTGCTTGGGCCAGGCATGGCAGTTGCCGCAGACAAATGAGCGGTTCTGTGGTAGTTCACGACGATGTCACGTGGAAGAGCTCGCATCAAAATATCGCAGAGCATCGACGAAAAACTTGACTTATTCACACCCAATGTCTGGAGGCCTCGTATATTGATTTGCACCTGGTCGAACATCGTTCGTAGACCTGAGGTATCGTTGGCTGACTTGACAGGTGAAATCAGCCTCAGACTGGAGAAATATTCCTGCTCCAATCGTTTCTTGTCTCCAAAACGGCGATTGAGGATCTCAATTGCATCCGCGTAGCAAGTCTCTGTCCTTGGTAATCCAGCCACAGCTGCTTCCGCTTCTCCGCCCAAATACATTCGAAGGTAGCCGAACTTTTCGCTGGTGGACAGACTGGCGTTCTTGTGAATTGTTTCATCGAACTGTTCCCAGAACGCTGACCACTTTGATATTTCACCCTTGAATGGCGTAATGGTGAGCTTCGGTAACCTAGTTCCAGCTTGTCTGCTGCCTTGGGTGTCGTTTGGGTGACGACTAGGTTCCCTAGGGGCCCCTCGAGACGATATCTGATCTAGGAGATCTTTTCTGCATTGGAGGGCACTGATGGTGGCAGTCGCTTCATCTTCGTATTGGACGACTGCCTGAAATTCGGTTTCGAACGAACCATCTGGTATGTGTCCCTCAAACTCTTCGTTCAACCTCCTGAGCTCATCGTTATTGGCGCGCAATCTTTCGGCCACAGTGGTAATCTGGCTAATCGTTGAATCTTGATTTTGTAAGAGAGCACTTGCCTCGTTGATGAGTCTTGTGTTTTGCGCGCGTCGGGTCGTTCTTTTAGTCTTCAGCCTTTCCATGGGGATCCACTGCGCTGCTGAGTCTTCTCGTGTGATGTCCCGGACCTTGACTCCCGGGTTTCGGCACCAAATTGTTGATATGAAGATCCAGGAACAGCGGCAGCTTCACAAAACTGAAGAGCTTTAATTCCGACGTGCGTTCGATGCGAAAAAAGAAATGGTAATAAAAAAAAAGTGAACGAGCTCCGCGCTCGCCGTCCACGAGCGCAGGCCCCGATCTCGTGTGTAGGCTTGCCATTGTGCTGCTCAACATTGCTTCGCTGGTACTCGACCAGTTTGATCTATTTTCAACACATGTATGCGAGGAAACCGCTCTACGTCGCACATAACGTGCCTTAAACACGCCCGCTCGAACGCCTTCCCTATCACGCACACGCGTACCATACACAGCCCAGCCGCCGCGATTCTATCAACCTTCTCGCGCGCTCTCTAATCAGGAACATAAACGACGCGGCTGTCATCGCTTCCAATTTCCGCACCTCCTCCGCACTACACGCGACAAGAACGTCGAGTCACGCAAGGCGACACCGCGGAAGATCGCTTTTCAGAAAACCAAATCCGACCAGCGGAAACTATACGCCCCGACGTTTCACAAACGGAATATCACCGAACTCGGCGACGACGGTATGAGAGAAGGCGTCGCGCAGTGGCCGCATCAGTGGCGAGCCTTTATGTATGGCCAGCCGGCTTATCGGCGCTTCTTTCACGCTCGTCCGCGCACGGCTCCCCGGTTCGCTTGGCGCTCCCTGCACGCGTGCATCGGGCGCGGGAGAGCGGGTGAGGCGTGCACGCGCAATTGCCTCCAGCTTCCGGTGTCGCGCCCGCTGCAACGACGACGACGACTCGCTCGCCGTTTGTTCGCGTCGCTTCTCGGCCAGGTGTTTGCCTCCCTCTCCGACAAAAAAAAAAAAAAAACCGCCGCGGGTTTTGGTCGCCCCTAAGCCTACCCGGTTGCATTAATGAGGTTGTTGCTATTTGAAACGTAAATAATGCATCTGGTCCTAAAAAAAGTAATTGTGTTGTGCGTTTTTCTACACGGCGAGAAGTCAGCCCATTGAGCGTCTGGTGTCTCGGCTGGAGACGAGAAATTTAGTCGGAGCAGCACGACCGCTAGCCTGGGGTTTTTAACGTGCATCGCGTAATAGCAGACTTGGAAGTAATGTTACAAGTAACGGGATCACTTGTATTTAATTACTTTTCTTTTAATTTAGTAATTAATCAGTTACTTTTTTGAAAATGTATTCTGTAAGGTAATATCATTAATTTTCAATAACGAATTACTGAAATTACTCGTTACAATTCTTCCGTCACATCGAAGGGAGAAATAGAGCTGAAGAAGGGCGATGCAACGGCCTTTGCACTTTTAGCGTGGTAACACAAGACGGGGGTTCGCTCTTGAAGAGAGCGCTGGTGAGGGAAAGGAACTCACGGAAAGGGGCCCGACAGCCCAACCAGAGCCCGTTTCTCGACTGGTTCGTACGGTCAGCCAGGCTGGGAGGATTCGATTGTCTACAGAAAGGCAACAGGTTTCGACTTCTTGGAAAACGAAGGGACTGTTTCGAGCGTACAAAAGATCAGAAAGCTAATGGACCATAAACCGTCGCGTGGGGTTCGTGTCGAGTGAGACCGATGAAAACAGTAACCGTGGTGCATATGTTGGCTGGCTTCCCTCCCTCCTCAACCCTGCTTCTTCCCTCCGCACCACTCCGCACCTTGTCCCTCCAAAACAAATCTTTATTATTATTTTCTCACACGAAACCATCCTTTGCTTGTCAATGTAGCTGCCTACATACGCTCACCCCGCAACCGTGCCCCGCAAACAGAGAGGAAGCTCTAATGAGACCTTGACCCTGCTCATACTTGACAGCGCTGTAAAAGCTGAATAGTGGCTGGAACAACGAGCTATGTGGCTTCTGTCACTTGACTTGACACTAGCGGATGTGTAGGGCAAAAACATGAGGGGTGCGATGGCAACAGTTTATTGGAACAGAAAAACATGTAACATCAATTCTGCTGTCAGTTTAAACAGTAACTTTCCACAACAGCTGCAATAAGCTGGCCGGGGAGCAAAACAAAACGTCTTGGAACATCCAAGCTGAACCGGTATTCTTAGGAACGAGAATGCTAGGGTTCTCATCAGCGTATTACGCCTGCGAGCATTTAGAAAGATATTTTAGGGAAAGGAAACACAGCCCGAGTTTTCTCAAAATAAACGGTGACTTACTCGGACACAAGAGTTGAGAAGCCGCCTGTAAACGGGCATGGAAGACATGGAACCGTGGTGTTCACTGAAAATCGTGCTTTTTTTTTCAATAATTTCTAAACAGCAAAATCAGTTCAGCTGAGAGATTGTGCATTAATCTGTCGAGTGACGTCTTGGTTCTGATAAGCTTGGTGATCAAGAAAGAAGATCAAGCGGGTCATTCGGTCGGATAACGACCTTCATCAAGCGGGAGTCTTTGAAATGTACCCACACGCAAGTACCGCACCTTGGTCTCACAGCCAGCCAGTTTTAGTAAGTAAACCAGCCCCTATTTATGCAACGTGCAGCAAACATAGAAAAATCCCATATTCAGGGGAATCTTGTTTTGAAGCTCGCCGATGACACACTCGGACTAATTCGAATGGTGTGCGAGCCTCCACCGCCCAAGACTTTATAGATTCGTTCTCCTAAAATTATTAAGCTAAAATGATGCGTAGATAGTACTGAATGTGTTGTATTTTTGTTTTAATTTTGATGGGGCCCAAAATTTCCCTTTTCAAACACGCAGTAGACAATGGAGAGTTTTAGTGGATCGTATTTTCAGGTCACGCTCTTCGTAGCGGGAGCTTGCGCTGTCACTTCGATGCCTGCTCTGAAGCGCGCGCCCGTAGCGGGAGCAGGCCTTCGAAAACGATCTACTAAAACTCCCTAATGTCTTTTTCGTGTTTCTTTGGAGTAACGCAAAAGTAACCAAGTAAAGTAACGAAGTAATTATTCGATTACTTTTTACGGGGAGTAATTTGTAACGGTAATCCATTGCTTTTTAGGCCAAGTGATTGTAACTGCAATTAATTACTTTTTTCAAGTAACGGGCGCAAGTCCTCGTAATAGTGATACACGACCGCATGCCGGTACGACGCTCATCCAGGTCGAAAAGGGTAGTTTTGGGGATTGAGTCCAACATCGCTGCAGGTCCTGCAGCGCGAGCTTTCGCTCTACGTGCTCCGAGCTGCGGTGCGCCAACACACTCGGCCAGCGACCCCCTTCGTAACTAATACAAGTTGGAGCCACCTTTTACCCCCCTTCAGAGTCCTAAATGCATGAAATGCATTATAGGTAGGGTTCCGTGTTTTCGGATAAATCTTAAAAACTAAAATAAACACCCGTTGGTAGAATTTTCGTAAATTCAGACCTATCTGATAAACACCAAATTAAAAAAAAAATGCCCCCCCCCCTCCCCCCCCCCCCCCCCCCCCCGAAAAAAAAGAAGGTATTTACGATAACTTTGGTCAGCGAGAGGGTTAATGGTTCTAAGAAAATTCCACCCCAGTTTTTTTTCATCGGACAGAAGGGCTTTCCGCTTATGATGATGATGCAATTAATGCGAAGGTACAAGCGAGCCGGACACGAATAGGAGAGGGGGAACAAGAGGGACATAGGACAAACACAGATTTCCAAATAGAGGTGCGCGACTGAAAAGATCCGCCTGCGGGCAAACTCAGTCGACGTATCAATTTCTCCAAGGTCACGTGACGTCAGGTGACGTCACGTGACGACACTTTCCCGCTAAATTTAGTAAGGAAACTGAATCCGTCTGTATGTCCCTTTACATCAGGTCACGTGATATCAGTTTTCCCGCTAAATTTAGCTGAGCAACTGAATTCGTGTATAGGTCTCGTGATATCAATTTCCCCGCTAAATTTAGTGGGAAATGGGCGGACGGACGAACGGACAATATTTTGGGATTGGGGGTAGCGTTAATAAGCATTTCATGCTTTAAACATAAAATGACGTTGTATGATGCCGGTATGATGCTCATCCAGATCGAAACGGTTAGGGCGGGTAGGAATTGAGCCCATGATCCTTGGGTTCTGCAGCGCGAGCTTTCGTTCTTCGTGCTCCTGGCTGAGGTGCGATCCTCCGAAGTGGGGCGCTTTCTAGCTCTGTGTGCTTGATCTCCACCGCACCGGAGAAAACAGCATAGAACGTCTTGTTGCGCAAGTAATTCAGAGCACCGCAAAAGGAGCGTCCTAACTTAGCGCCGAAACTATACGGCGTGTAAGTTCGTCTGCTCCTTGCGCACTTCATGCGTTTGTTCAGCACCTCCCCTCCCCCCCCTCCCTAACGCGCCCAGGTGCTTTTTGTCCCGCCCCCCCCCCCCCCCCCCCCCCCTTCCCGACCTAAAGCAAGGGATTGTTTTAGTGGAACGTACACTAAAGCTTTGCGTTCGCAAAGGAATTAAGGGTCATTAGTGCGCATGCGCAGAACTCAACAGAAGGGCCAACGTATTGCGTACACACGCAACGCTGGGGGTTAAGCGTCGCGAGCTAGCGGGCTTTGCGGGAACGTCTCGAGATCTCGTACACACCGAGAGCCCCAGTTTCAAGATGGCGGAAACTTCAACTGGCGCAGCAAGAGCGGCGTGGAGTTCGCGAAGTTTAGTGTTACGTGAAATTGCGAGGTGTTCGGCTCGGCTATTCCGTCTGTGACCTACCGCGGTCGAGTCAGGTCGCCGTGCAGCTGACGGAGTGCATAGGGAAAATGTCCACCGCTCGCAATATGCGTGAACACTGCGACCTGCTCGACGCTAAGCCTCTTCGACCAGTTGATTGCCGACTGACGAACAACTCTGAAAAAATCGCCGAAGTTGTTGTTGAGCACTGGACATCAGTAAGTCATAGATTTCTACCCGCGATAGCATTGATAGAAGGTGCCGTTTGCAGGACGATTGACGGAGTATCCGTGATCGAATTCGGCTACGCACTCGTGCTCGTAGCCTCCATACCCCGCGAAAAAG